CAAAGTCGTCGCACGCAAAGAAGTCGCTCAGTTACCAATATACCGTTGAGGAAACTCTCGTAAAGCACATTGCCTACACGAATTGGAATGCGGCTTCCAAAGGTATTCTTCGACACCCTGGGATGCAAGATGATTCAAATACCTCAAAACGAAAACCGCCATTGGATTCAAATAAATCTAAATCTAAACTCTTCAGTGTCGTCCACCTTATCACGGGACAGGCCAGGCTGATGGCTAGTCCAAACGCACGATCGGCATATGATTGATTGCTTTCCATCAAAGATATTTAAGCCGAGCCAATCAGAAGCCTTCGTTCGCCCACGAACGAGTTCTTCAAAATAACAAGGGATGCTGGCAGGCGTTCCCTTCTTTCCCCTCCCCCTCCCCCCACGCTCCCTTTTTTTTGCTAGGTCCCATTTTTCTAGCGGGCCCTTGGTCGAAACAGGAAACCCAAAATCCCGATTCTGCCTCTCAAATCCATCAAAAGAAMGCCTGCTCTGCAGGCTACAACGGGAGACAATGGCGCAATGTCATTGGTCTGGTGTATTCTTTGCTGTATTAACTACGGCGTTCGTACTCGGCAAGTTTAAATAATTTTCACAGTCATATGAAAATTGCGCTGTGGAAAGGAATTTGAAATCATACCACGTTATCATGATTCTTCACTGATTCCTCAACGGTAGACACTGCTGAATCGTCTTGAGCGGTTTTCGTTTGATCGGGAGATGTGGTCGATACTTTTTCATTTTTCTTCCACTCCTAGTGTTGTAAAGGTGGATTACAAAGATGATGATAAGCAATAGAGATCCATTCCCACGTTTTTCAGTAGTTTTAATCAATAATAGGCAAATGAATTAAAATTGCATCCGTGGCGCAAGGCGAGAGTATGATTGTATAATAAGAGGTATAACTAAAAGGGGAGTAGAGCATTTCATACAAATAAATATGATCAAAATATTTCCAACCTCAACATCTGCGGAGTACATTTTCATGCTGAGATCCATCTTAGTTTTATGCCTCTTTCCTTCGTATTTTACCTAACCAGCAAACCACAAGAGACGTTTATTAGTTAGCAGTTTGATAGTTTCAAACGCAATACACCAGTTTTGATTTCTATGTACACCGCTGTTTTTGAAGACCACAGACTCGATCATTCCTCGTTTATAAGTCAGCTATTTACAGGCGCGATTACGCTGAGCAATTTTTTCTGCAAAACAGCCTTGCGACACAAGTTGAAAGAGTGTTTGAACGGTGCAACGGAGACGCAATCGTTGGCAAAAGTAAAAACGAATTCTACTTTTGRCAGCGATTGCTGAAACTTGTCTCGCAACATTTTTTCAAATTGCGTGGAGGTTACAGGCTGCAATGGTCAATACAACTTATGTCACAACGCCGTTATTAATGATTTTATGCTTCTATTTTCGACTGCACGAGCTGCTTTGTGCATGACTAGTGGCTTATGTAATTGAGGGGTAATAAAGTTCTTTTACTAAAATGTTCGCTTTTGTTTGTATTTCAAGTGTCCTTGGAAATGGATTCCAATTTCAGGAGTTTTCAAGTGGTTTGAGGAGCAGAGTTAACTGTTTTTAAACATAAACTTGAAACTGGATGTATTGCTAACAGAAATAAAAAAGAAACGTTTCTCACCGGTTTTCCAGGCTCCAGACCAACACAAAACTTTGAGTCGAGTGCCATCAGTTCTTCGTAGCTTACTTCTACCTCTGTTTTGATGTCAGCTGAAGAAAAAAATCATAATCAAAATCACTGAGTGGTTGGTTGGTTAATTGGTGGCTGGCTGGCTGGCTGGCTGGCTGGCTGGCTGGCTGGCTGGCTGGCTGGCTGGATGGGATGGGATGGGATGGGATGGGATGGATGGATGGATGGATGATGGATGGATAAATGGCTTGATTGATTGATTGTATGTCATGTTTGAGTCAGTCACAGTTGGTCCGTTGGTCGATCGAGCAATAAAAGTGAACACAAAATTACAGAGGAATAATGTAATGTAAGTGACTTACTTTCTTTGTCTGGATGTTCTTTGCGATATTTTATTTTAAACGAGAAAGCCTGAAGAATGAATGCCACAACTATTGTCATGACAACCTGAAAAAGACAACCGTGAAACATAAAAAGCTAGGCCAGGTGTAACTATAGTACGAGCATGCGCAATACCTAGGTGGTCTCACAATACTCAGAGCATGCGCAATGTCTGGGTTGGGGATATCGCTAAATCCCAAGCACGTGTAATCACAAATACCAGGGTGATATCGCTATATTCCGAGCATGCGCAATACCTGCGTGGTGTCGCTATGATTGTTATTTCGATCATATTATGATTATTATATTTCGATCATACGTGATCATTATATTTCATACGTATCATACGTAATACGGTAATAACATTATATTCACGAGCCTAACCCAAAATACTTTAAATAATTTGAGTTACCATGATGATGATGAAGAACATCATGAAGTAGATTCTACTCCAGTCAGAAGTCGAGTGTACTATTCCTTCCTGTTGAGAAATGGGTAAAGTACCCACAGTAAAACTGTACACTAAAAAGTATCGAACTGTACAAAATAATATTTGGTATTGTATAAGTAATATTATTTAGCAATAATTAGTACTTTTCCTCTCTAAACTAATTAAATCCATGTGTACATGTTTTGATAAAAACGACAAGGACAAGGACATTACTAAAACAATTAATAATCATCATCATCAGCTGATGCGATGAAAATTTACTTCTGGTTTATTTTTCAAAATGAATGAAAAAGACTTTGTAAACAACTAAATGAGCTTATCACGTCACTCGATTCGGTAACATATATTCACTAGCTAATTACTACGAAGACAAATCTATTTCACCATTTTCCATACATTGGTTCACTGGTCAAACACAAAGCGCTCAAGCGAGGCGCCAAGGTACTTGCAAAGGATTATTCGAATTTGCTTTGTGTTTGACAAGTTTGAACCGATGTATGGAAAATGGTGAATATATAAGAACTGATTACCATGATAATGAACCAGTTATTGACCACAGTGAGCTCGAACAATGTTACTACAATGAAAAAACGGGCAATTTATATTAGAAATGTAGAAGATATGAATAACAAGTGATATCTATGGAAAGATTAGTTTACTATACAGAAGTGTGGAATAAGATATACGTGGCTATTTTTTACTCTATATTTTTACTCTCGTATTCATATTTATGTGTCTTGTCTTGTTCAACTTTTAAATGAAAGAAAAAAATTTAAACAAAGAAATGATAGTCAAGAGAATGACACTTTGTCTGAAATGGGAAACATGACGGTCAAGGTAAAGAGTTCTGTGCTCTCCCTCCCACCGACTCCATGAGATTCGCTCTGTCCAAAGTCCACTCATGGGAACTGCCCTGTCCAAGTTCCACCCATGGGAACCGCCCTGTCCAAGGTCCACCCATGAGAACCGCCCTGTCCAAGGTCCACCCATGAGAACCGCCCTGTCCAAGGTCCACCCATGGGAACCGCTCTGTCCAAGGTCCATCCATGGGAACCGCTCTGTCCAAGGTCCACCCATGGGAACCGCTCTGTCCAAGGTCCACCCATGGGAACC